TTAGATAAGACTAGATATAGTCAAGTATTCGAAACAGTATAACGTGATTGTGTCCTCCTGACAAGGTCAGCTGTAATATTTTTCGGTCATGACAGTGAAAGTCTTCCTAAGTAAAAGCTCAGTGCTCTAACTAATAGCACTAATGTCTCTTGGTCAGTTAGCACATGCCGATCTTGATGCAAGTCATTGGCCTCATAGAAAAACCACACACCATGTCTGTATTTCTTTTTCAACTTGCAAAGAACTGGAGAAATGCTTTGAAGCTTTAAAATTATTATTTATGTGAGTGATCTTGTCTATCCATTTTGCGTCCATAGAAAAGTTAATAAAAATGTATCCAACTATTCATCTACTAAAATATCTCTATAAGTAATAGATTAGGAAATAGAGATAACATATTCTTGCTAATACTTCTCTAGATTCCATCCGACATCGCCTATCCCACAGCGCTACCAAATATAAGCGATTTATTAACGACTGTGCTCCTTATGGGGAGAATTCGTCCTACGATAGACGAACCCCGCAAATTAGTCTCAAATACTGAAAAGACTTTGAGCTATTTGTTTGAATCAAACCCTAAACCGGTTAGTCATCTCATATACTAACGTCCTTGATCATAAACTAACTTCAATGCTTTTTAGATCATGAAACAAAAGCTATCTGAATTATTGAAGTCCATCTGTTATCACGCAATTTCTTCTTCCAGGTGAATTTGTTGGTCATGGAATCATTTCCAAAAAAAAAAGTGGATATGACACATGCACAAACGGAATGAGAATGTAGATAGGGAAATCTTGATGGGTTGGTGTTAACTAGGAAGGACTTCTTGAGTAAATCTACGGCGTTGGTTTGCTCCCCAAAAAACCTTTACGTTTGAAATGCATGATTGGAATTTGGAAGAATGTCGATAGAAAGTTTACACACAGAGAAAGGGATTTGCAGCTTGAAAAAATTATGTTCAAATAGCAAGATCACCCGTTGATATATGAATGTGAATGTACAAGTAGCAATAATAAGAAAAGCCTCAAGTTAGATTATTGTTCTCGTATTGTTGCAATTGAAGGAAACAATAGTGCCATTGAGATGAGTCTTTGGGTGAAGAATTTTGTCGAGTGAATGAGTAGTTATTGTATAAATCTATTGAGGGAAGAAATGGATCTCGAAAAGCTTATCATACTCAGGTTCATTTCTTGGTTCACTTGCATGTGAGGAGTACCATGAATATGACACAGATATCCATTGAGACCATTCTATATACCAAGAACAACAATTTTAATGTTGGGCAATAGACAGATTGGCTCTATCATTACAATGGTTAAAAGTTCATTAACACGTACGGTAATGCTAGAAACTGAGCTGAAGTCAGCGATATTCATACATTCGAAAAATATTTTACAGGTTCAGAAGTAAACAGGCGTGAGAAATTTCGAGGAGGTGAGGAATCAACTAGTGGGATCACTCGCTCTCGCAAAAGGCCAGCTTCCTTTCAATCAGTAAAGGAGGTTTCGCGAAGAATATTGGTCAATAATCAACGAGACTAAGGGGGGATTTTCAAATCACCAAGCTAGCCCTAGCGCAGGCTGAAGTCTATAAGTATCTCCATTTCTCCCCTCCGATTTATTTTCTCAAGGTCCCAGAATAGAAGAAAAGTAGATGAGAATGAAGATGAAGGACGCCACGACCAATGATTGATCGAAGATCTGGGTTGCAGGGCAGCAAGTAGTCGTATTTGTGCGGGTCAAATGTAATTTGGTGGAGGACAATACGACGAATAACGAACGACCGAAGAACGAGCGAACGAAGAGCAAACGATCGACCAGCTAGGTTGCAGGGCAGCAGGTATTCGTACTTGTGCAGGTCATATGTAATTTGGTGGAGGACGACAGAAAAAACTACGAACGATCGAACGAACCGGATGTGGGGACCGTAGGCTATCGCAAGGGGATTGAAACCCCCCGGCAAGTTTTATGAATGCCGAGCGTTTTAATTAACACCGGATGATGAAACTTGGAACCCCTCAGTATCAAACTGTCTCTGATGTGGGTCTCATTGTACTCTTGGGCTTGGCCTGGGATATGAAGAGGCTATATTTGAACTTTTTGACCTTAAAAAAATAATATCTAGAGTTATATTTTTGGTGAGTTTGTAGTGTGATTTATGTCGATTCGAAGAATTTTCAATCACTTAGATCTCGCATAGGAAATGATCATCATGTACTAGATATATCTGTCAATAGGGAAAACCTGAAAACAGCGCCTAGATTCTCCCATCTTGCCTAATCGTCTCTTTACTGTCAAGCGATACCATTTTCTGTATCAGTTGTGATTAGAAATGATGGTAGCCGCTCTGCATATCCACTAATCACTTGATCATTCTGGCGTTCTGGCGCATCAATAGTATTGAGAATCCAAATATTCGAGATTTAGATCAGTCACAACACTCTCTACAACGCAATTATTGACGAGAAAAGCTACAATAGAAGATCATTAGTGCTCTTGGCGTAATTATATCTTATGTGATCATAGATACATAATATTACTTGTTTAGTGATAGCGAGAAGAGATTTTTCCCGAATCATATCTGTCTGTCATGTATCCATCTTTTTCCCAATTGCTCTTCTTAAACTGGGAATTTGTGAAGATTTTGAACAGAGAAAATTATAAGGGCAGAAACTCTTGAAATGTTTATCCATTATCGGGGGCATAGCGAGAGCGAGGAAAACGAGGAAAGAGACAATTACAGCAGCAGACAGAGAGATACGATGAGAGAGATTTCAATTCACGGAAGATGTTTCAAAGTATTCCAGCGATTACAATATCTATCATTCTCATGAAATATGATCTTCTAGAATTCCAAGATAGGATCAGGGTGAAGATGCCACCTTCATCTTACACGAAGGTGCGGCAAGATCTGTACTAGACTCACTAGATATGGCAGCTCAAGATTCCAGGAACGGAGGGAGATTCTCGGAACGCTAATCCTGATTTGGATAGAAAATTTACAACAGAAATAGTGATATGTACTATGATGATTGACGGAATAGCCGGAGATGGAAGTTTTGTACACGTCGGTAATGATTCTCACGGGCATGGAAGTCAGGCTTGAAGTCGTGAGCACGGGTACGACACAGGGGTATGTGAACGCCTAAGCGCGTTTTGGCGCCGCTTACACAATTGATTTCACATCATTACCAATCTATCTCCAACCCGCATTGTGTTCTCAGTAATCAGATCAGTTCATACAGAAAAGACTCTGAACACACCATATATAATTTTTGCTCTACACCCTCTTGCTACCTACTAATATCTGCGGAGCCTAGCTTTAAGAATCCTGTTGATCTGCTACTTTCTGGACATTTCTACCTGCACCTCATGCGCGTCATTCATCGAGCTACAACTCTACTTAACGTCTGCCACCAATATAGTAACATATTCCAACCTACTTGCCCGGCTCCAATCTCTTCAATCTCAAGCATGTCGACTTCAAGCTCCACTCCTCTTGCTCCGGTAATATCCGTATGCCACGGTGGTGGTCCCATGCCCGTTATGAACGACCCCGGCCATGCCGAACTCATAAAGTCCATGAGCACTCGTGTTCCAGAAATACTCGGCATTTCACCCAATTCCTCTACTTCGAATGCTCCAAAGGCTATTGTATTAATTACTGCGCATTGGACTGAGACACGTCCTCATATAAGCAGCTCTCAGCACCACGATTTATATTATGATTACTCTGGATTTCCATCGGAAACATATAAATTAAAGTACCCTGCACCCGGAAGTCCAGAAGTAGCAAAGGAGGTTTTCGAGCTATTGGATGGGGCAGGATTACAACCGGTGTTAGATGAGAAGAGAGGTTTGACTTCTGATTGCCATCTTTTTGATTCATATTACTGACCACAGATGTCCAAAAAGGCTGGGACCATGGCGTATTCATTCCCCTCCTCCTAATTGCTCCCAAAGCGCAGATCCCCATTGTACAAGTCTCCGTTTTACGGTCGAATTCTCCTGCCCAACATTATGCTATGGGCCAGGCTCTGGCACCTTTGCGCTCTCGCGGGATAGCCATTATTGGGAGTGGCATGCCGACATTTCATAACCTTCGTCTCATGTTCTCTGGTGTCATGAACACCCCTGCATACAAAGCGCGCAATACTGAATGGTCATATCGGTTAACAGAAACACTGAAAATAGCCGATGCTGAAGAACGCGGCAAAAAGCTAGAAGATTGGAGGCAGTGGACCGGTGCGGAGGATGCACATCCTGAGAAGGGACAAGAACATTTCTTGCCATTGATTGTATGCGCGGGCGCTGGAGGCAATGAACCGGGAAAAGGATGGGAAGATCAAGCTATGGGTTCATCACAATGGACATACTATTGGGATTAAGGGTACCTGTCATGTAGCGTTCCTGTGAACATGACCGGGTAATTGAGGTGTGAGGCGATATTTAATACCATATGGTTAATTTAGGAGATTGATGAGATGAATGACGCATGTCACCCGCATATCATAACTTTCAAGACGATTCTTTCAACCGGGACTGTGGACAAGAGAAAATAATATTTGAAGGAACATCACGAGATTGGTATACAATACAAGTAACGGTTTTATCAGACTATTATCTCTTCAAGTTTATAACTCGTTTTCCCTCAATGCTATCAAGCTGGCTTCAAAAAGGAATCAGCACATAAACTCCAGGAAAAATGCTTTCAGCCTACGACCACTAGGAAAAGAAGAATGTAAATTGAGGAGAATGAAATGCGCTGTGAAGACTACGGTACGTTAGGCCAAGATTTAAAAGCATTAAAAAAAGCAAGAACGGCGTTGCCGGAAACGAAGAGCATAGGATAAGGGATTGATGACAGTTAAAGCGGGACTAAGACGAGCAACAGGCTCATAGCGTTTGGTATAAGCGAAAGAAATAAAAGAGCACCCAGCTGTAAATATTTTACCTCTGGAGCCCGGATATCAGATCAAGGAACCACCCAAGCTGAATCTCTCATTCGGTACCACTACACGACCCGGCAGGTGCGCCAGCAGAGACAATCGCATGTTCAATACAGCCCTTTTGCCAAATGGTCGTTTGACCCGAAGCATGCCATTCATACGGGTTACTCGCGTCTACTGTCATATTTTCAAACTTCCATTTGGAAATAGTCCCACATCCGCCAAGTTGATTCAAGAGTCCGTTGCCGTGAAGATAATCATGGTCATCGTCAAGCTTGCTTGTATCCCATTTATAGCCTCAGATGTTGAATATGTCTAAGACTATATCGTCTCGTGCGTGGCAGGCGACATTACTTTGCGACTTTATCGCCAAAGTAGGAATAGAAGTCCTAAATCTAGGGAGAATGAAGTTTACCCGGAGTAGGAGCGTCTCTTTGAGCTAAAGAGTGTGAATAATTGATAAGACTTGAGATTTCGTCCTATTCGGTGATGAAAGACATGTCGATCAAGTTGAACGCACGCACCTGATATTTAAACTATTCTAACACCGTGCCGATTCTCGCTTTCAACCACAACGGTTGGTACAGAGTATCCATAGCCTTCATCTCAACACACGAGTGAATATCATAGCTCTATCAGTAGTTTATAATTCTCATACCCAACCCTTAGCTGTTGGAACATTAAAACAGACGACTAACATATCAGCGAATCAGCATGGAAAGATTCAGCAATGAGGCCCAGCGGGTATTCATCATCGACTCGAGAGCTCACAATAGCACTGGTACAGTGAATCTTCAGGTGGTACTTGTGTGAGCAGTAATAAGTTCTGTTCGAGTAATGACATTGCCGCCAACAGTAAAAATGGGCGTTAGCCCGACAGTGGCGATGTAGAATGTGTAGGATGAATGAGATAAATGAACAAAGGTATTTGAAGGAACGCATACGATCTTGTGGTTTATGTAAATGATGAAACAGTATATCTTCTCATCGCCGTTTTCACTGTGGAATGCTCGCTGGCAGGTGCATCAGATTGCTAGCTTTAGCCTTTTGACACTGGCAAACCAATACAAGACGAGAAAGGATCTTCTTCAGCAGATGTGCGCAATTTTACGAGTATTTTAAACAGAATTCCTTCGAATATACCTGCCTCGTGTTGGATGACATGTCAAATGAATAAACCACCAGGTAAACTGTTGGGGGGTGCTGGGCTTGTGGATAATATTATTCTGGGGGTTGTACTACGCCTCATGCATGGCATCTCAACGCTAGCCTCATTGGTCGACTTCAGAGAATCTATTAGCATAGCCCTCTATCGTTCACCTTCACAAAACTGAACACTGCCTCAACGAATAAGGCTGTTGGTTTTCTGCTCCCCTATCTCATCTCCGTTTGTATTTGATCACGATATTTGTTATAACTTGCAATTCAACAGGCACGAACACAAAATTCAGGATAAAACACCCAAGGAGTTCATCAACATTGCCGACGACGTCAATCTCAACTTTGTCCTCCAAACCCAGGAGATCAAATCTCAACTCTATCAACAATGAAATGTGGCAATGCGGAAAATATGAAAGAAACACAGAAAGAGCGAAAAGCAAAAGCACCTCGAAAATTACCACAAACCGTCCTCGTTCGTTAACCTCTCCGCTCGGTGCTGGTCCTAATAGGTCGAGTTGACTATCATAGAATCTGTTCAAAAGGACTATCAAGCAAAAGTCGTTTGATCAACCTCAGTCTTCTCTTTTCGCTCGACTACCAAGTGAAATTCGTCGTCTAATATGGCTTGAGACCTTCGGAGGACATTTTTTTTACATATTGCGCGGGCGAACAAGAGACTTCTGGCAATCGATTGTGTCAAATCAGACCCGGAAATTAGAGGACGATGGCACGGCTGCTGGGGTGGTAAGAGTGCAAACATTGTTTTGGCCATTTGAAACAAGCTGAGAACTTTTTGGGAGGCAAAAGATTCCCTTTCAGAGTGCTTTCAAAGCTGTGTTTACCGCGTCTATCTCCATCTCCAGAACTTCTAAACGGCGAGAAACCCAACATGGTGCTGTGAGTATGTCTAGGCACAAAGATGAACATCAACCAAACCATCGGTTCAGAAGTATATGGACAATTGAGAAAGAAATGATAACATTATTGCCTTTAGGATTTCGGAGAACACTGTTACCATGGGTTAAGATATTTTGTATTAATTGATCGACTGCATCATTGAGATATGCTATTGAATCATGACATAAGTCATTTATTATGCTCCAAAAGTTTCCCTTCGTCTTGCTTCCGATCTTGGAGCTTAGTGTCATGATTCGTGAGAATAAAATGGCATAAAAAGCTATGAATCCAGCATTAGCTGGCTGGCTCGGTAATTCGCCCCGGAGTTGCGGTTTTTCACAACATCATTTCGATATAGGTGACCCAAATCCCTTACTGAAACGTCTTTATGCTATGCGCATGCAGCATCCTTACCATCCTCCCCCCAAACCAACCATACTAGCTATATCGATACTGATTTTCCATGTGATCTAGAAACTATCCCATAATTTTTCTTTTGCTTATGGCTCTCCATCACTCGAATTCCTACTAAGAGAACGCAAGATGAAAAATATTTCTCCTTCCACTCCCTTATAGCGGGCTCTCTAAGCGAACGGCTATTACTCCAATCCGATGCTAATCATCGTTGTGGTCACATCCCGCAGTAGTAGCCATACCATTTCGAACGCAGGTCAAGCAAAGTCCAACTTTTTCATCCAAGGATTTCAATCTCCATGACCGGTCATCTCTATACCATGGAAGTGTATGGGTTCTCGCAGAACGACATTCACCGCTTGCCTCTTGAGGGACTGGATCAGGCATTCTTTCTGCTGATTCTATCGCGTCAGAAATGGAAATTTTGTGCAAACTGACCGGCCAAAGTTCGTTTTCTTTCAACAAATTCAGATATGCATATGCATATTTACAGATCCAACCACAATTTTGAGCGCACATGCCGTGATACTCATTGATTCCTTCTAAGAGTATCTCAGAAAATTCAGATCTTACGAAAATCCTCTGCGTTTCGAGAAGACCTTTACATAAAGGTTTCAGTTAATAATACAAAATCACCAGTGAGATACTTACAGAATATCCTCCACCCCAATGCAGATTCAACTTCATCGCACGCAAGATCGAGGTAAGGAACATGGCAGTTAAGTACCAACGCTTTTGTGTTTTCCTTGAACGCTCGTGCATTTCGAAAAAGATACGCCGCCGTAACAAGACGTATTAAATCATTCGCATCTGTGGTATCACTCCGAAGGAAAGTTGCGCTGGCCAATTTCATGGCATCGAGAAAATCGTATTTGTCCGCTGCAATAGCAATCTCCAAAACTTGACTCGCGGTGATGTTTCTAGGAATTTCATTATTTTGATGGTGAATAATGGCGAGTATAGTTTCTAGAGCAGCTGCATTATCTGCAGGAAGTTCTATCTCTTTGGGACCATCCTGATGGAGCAAATCTTGGCCTTCCTGCCTCTCCCATTTGAACATAGCGACGAAAGGCTTAGAAGCTGCCTTGAGAAATAGTGAATGGACGCGAAACCTCTTCATCTCTGGCCCAACAATTAGAATAATGTCGCCATCAGGAGCAAAGTTGATAATCGTGCTTGTGGTCCTGTCTCCTTGATGCTCCATGATCGTCGAAGCTCAACCGCATCAATTTGGATTAAATCACAACCAGTTTTATGCTTCGGCTTTGGTTGTTTCCGCACGATAACATGTGGAGAAAGTAAAGCTTGACGTAAGATTACATGTAAATTTACAGATTGCTTTCGTTTGAATGGCGTGTGTGGATTGGTAAGCAAAAATACCCTCGACGAGGTTGTTATCTTATGGACGTTTGATTGGGCAGTAACATGCATGACAGTCATTTATAGCAACGAATGAAAAACCCAGGAACTAATCTCCATGGCTGTTAGTATTGGATGTTCAGATTCCTGGTATCACAAAATCACCCCCGCTCATTAGAAAAAAAGAGCAACATGCTTACCGTCTCCTCTGGACAAAATCACGGTATCCTCAGTACTCAATCCAAGTCGCTAGTCCAGGAAGGGTCATTAGATTCTCCAGTATCTAGTCTATCGATTGACTAGAAACTACCCATCAACACCAACAAAGCTTTTAAACTCAATCCAATCCAAACTAACCACTCACAAATCATTAGTTTATATCACCTAATCTAAAGAATCTACCGTTTACTCAATCCACCCATTGGAAGTACTGCCGAGATCACAGATCTAGAACATATTTGCGATTCCTTACGAGCTCATTGATATCTTTACAAAAGTTTACCCTTGATATTTCAACGCCAAATGTGTAGGCATATCCTCGAGCTCTTATATGCGAATCACCCTAGACTGTTCACGAACGATGCATATTCTCCTGATAGATTCACCTCTGCATGTCCAGATTACTGTTCGCACTGTCAAGCATTTCGCTTACATATAATCTTACTAGGACGTTCTCTTACTCACTCAATCTGGTTCAAGCATTTAAGCATCACCATGTCCTAATCGAACCCCGGTCATTGTGATTCTCCCAATCTCGCACCACCCTCTACCTCTGTTTACAACGCAATCATTTGCACCACCGAAAACCATCGTATCTATCCACAAACATTCTCGTTGCCCCTAAGCCTCTTCCTCATCGCCGCAAAACCCGAATATCAGGTTGACAACTCATCTAGACACGCAAGAATCAAATCCACCCACCACACCTTCTCCCCTTCTCAATTCACACACACCATCACACCACCAAAGCAAACAATATCAGAAACCCTCATACATAGAACCTCTCCAAACACAACTCCAACTCCCATCCCCTACCCCCCAACAAACACCATAACGCATTTGTTGAAGCCGTAAAGAATAACGTCCCTACCCCAAGCAACTTGTGAGCCGTGCAAATACCACAATGTATCTCCGCGCAAGTGACGTAGAAACATACGAGACACGAGAACCACATATTATCTCAATTTCGCCTCTATACCCCACCCTAACAACATGCAAAAATTCAAAAATTCAAGGACCGACCCCCACAGTCAGAACGAGCGATAAACGACAATCACAGACAAGCACCCACAAACACCATCGACAATGAATCAACTCAGATACACCAATCCTGCTCTCCACTGAACTACAAGTAGCTAGGTAATGATGATTGTCTTTTTAGCACTGCCCTACGCACCTTGAGTACTAAGCATCTTGTACAGCTCGAGGAAATACACTTCGTTGGTATGCTACGCAGCCCATCCATCTCAGAGATAAAAATTCACATCAATTCATCTGTTTATGTTTCCCTTTTTTTGCCCTCTCATCTTTCGAGTAATATCACATGAGCGGTTGAAAGACGATGCAAATATTAATATCGATATATGACTCAACTTCCGCACAACGCACTTGCGTTGATGAAATTGCCTATCTCTTTTTTTTCACATCCTTGAAGTGGAAGCAAAAATAGCACGTGAAATATAGTAGTCTCATATCATGTCGTATCATTCATCTAATCTATTCTAATCTAAACCATTCTATTTTCGCATTAGTAATGGTATAATCAGTTTGTCTGTATCCTCCCTTATCTACACTTCTTCGGCCGCTACCTGCGATATCATAGCACTTCTCTCTATCGTAAATCCACTGCTACCTGAGCCCTTTTCCTCCACCATTATTACTATATCCGCAAACATCAATCTAAGCACCGTAAACCTTGAATCTCTCCTCGAGAGGCTGGAAGGTCTTCTCTCCAGCTTCGGCAACAGGAGTACCGAAAACGAGTTGGGCGTTGAGTTCCCAGTCAGCTGGGATGTTCCATCTAGAAGATTCGGTGTTAGTCGTGTATTCGTTTCAATCCCTCTCTACACCATCTTCATCTTCATTCATATTCCTCTTTCCCCACCCCCACATCCAATTACCCCAGAGAGAATCAAAAAAGGGGGGGAAAAAAACTTACTCAGAAGCAACCTTAGCATCAATCAAAGGAGAATAATGTTGCAAGTTTGCGCCCAATCCCTCAGCTTCCAAAGCAACCCAGATGGCATGTTGAGTCATGGCATCACTTTGACTAGCCCACATGGGGAATCTCTCTGCGTAGGTAGCGTATGCGGATTGCATACCGGCGACCACCTTTCTATCTTCGAAGAAAAGGACCTATTGATTTTTCTATTAGTTTATTTTTTTTCCCATACCAAGATAGCGATCCTCCAAAGATTGGATATCAAAGAATAGAATAACAAAACAGAAAGAGAAAAAAAACATACAGTTCCATAACCAGCTTTAAATCCATCAATTCTCTGAGCCGTTCCCTCAAACTGAGCCTCAGGAACAACACCCTTCAAAACCTCCTTGGTAATATCCCAAAGCTTCTCGTGTTCACCCTTGAGCAACAAAACAACTCTGGTGCTTTGCGAGTTGAACGAGGAAGGAACGTGCAAAATGCATTGCTCGACAATCTCTTGGATCTTGCTATCTGGGATGGTGGATTTGTTGCTGAGAGCGTAGATGGTACGACGGGCCTTGAGGAGATCGATGAATTGGGTTGATGGAGACATGGTTGGTGGTTTGTGTGGTGTGGTTTAGGTATTTGATATGTGTATGTATGTGTATGTGTATGTGGATGTGTATGTGGATGTGTATGTGGATGTGTATGTGGATGTGTATGCGTATGAAAATCGAGAATTCGTTGCGAGATATAGATTGCAAAGTGAGAATAGAGAGAATCAAAAACAAAAATGTCCAGAACGGAGAAATCAACCCTCTTATACCTCCAACTTTCGACCCAAACCGACGTTGCAAAAGTTAAAACCCGGCCCGCTCTTTGCCCCGCTCACCTAAAAGAGACACACTGACAGAGCACTATTCACCCCCGCTCCACTCTTTCCCATCCCATCCCATCCTCCCATCTCATCCCATCTAGAAATCCAGATTCAATGTCGCCATTGCAAATCCAACATCCCATATCTAAAATCAACCCAATCAAGCCCTCGCATTGAGATTTCTATAAACATGCCCAGTATCAATCAATCCAGTGATTCACCCACCTCTTACTTTTTGCTTCTTCCACTGACACAGTAAACACGTACATACCTGCCGACAAATGCCAACTAAACCCAATCTACCTAATTCTCCCCTTCCTCTCGGCTCCCCTTCCCATCCAAATATCGTGATATCTAAGCTTTCACCAAGCGTCAACCCTCCCAGCTCCACAATATCGTCAAGATTTCTAAGGATTCCATAATTGATGGACCGCTGACATATTCATTATAAAGCTTGTGGTGGGGCGGATCTGAGTGCGGCGCGCTTCGTTCTGCTATTGGTGGAATTGCTGCGGATAAGTGGGATACTGACTGCGGATATGGATATGTATGGCGGAGTGCATGGTTCCGATGAATGCACGGAAAATATTGAGACAATTGTTACAAACTCACGATTCATCAATCTCGGAGAATATGATCATGATTGTTAAATATTTTCATTTATAAACTATCTGTATGGCATGGTATCCCACACACTTATGTTTACAAAAGTATTTACTTGCTGTCTGGCATTCACTATCCCATCATGTAGCTCCCATCGGTGTAATCCCAATTGCTTGGATTGTTCTTTTGCTGTTGTTCGCATTTCCCATTTCGCCATTCTGAACGCCGCTCAACGCTCTGTTGACAACCAAAATTTACCCAGTCAATATCCCATATGCAAAATGTGTAGCCAAAGAATCCCCCCATTCATTGCATAAAAGCAAGACAGCTCTCCACCCATTGAACATGCCTATAATACAGCCCAAATATGGCAAACGATATCGAAAGTCCACTGCGTATTTACAATCCTTGTTTCATTCGCATCGTAATCCCATCTTGGAAATTTGAAAACCCCAGACTCAAGGAAGAAAGAAAAGAACAATAAAGTGAAATCGATCACCAAGTCTCGGCGATATATTGCCCGGCTTCATTCTTCAACTTCCAGAAATTCTTTGCTTCTTCCCTATCCAAGTTGCCCTTTTCCATGGCAACATCTACAAGAGCTTCTTCAACACCTTCACCCATTCCTTTACTGCTTCCACAAACAAAAACTCGACCATCCAGAGCATTGATGATAAACCAGACCAGATCTCCTTGGTGTCTAACTTCATCTTGAACATATTTGCCCTTTTGCTTACTACCTGGTCTTCGACTCTGAACAACTTTCTTGACTTCTGATTCATGAACACCCCATTCACCAGAATACAATTCATCCAGCAGAGAATCTCTGACTCCTTGAAGAACCCAAACTTTGTTGGCGCAGTTAGCATTCTTGAGACGACGTTGAACAAATCCTCGGAAGGGTGCAACTCCGACACCTGCTCCAATCAAAAGCATAGGTCCATCGGAAACAAATTCTCTCGCCAAAGGATTTGCCATTAATCCTTTGAACATTGGGATTCGGACATTGACCTTTTCTCCTCTCTTTTCAGCGTCGATGAATTTTCTTGCTTGTCGCTCAAAGAATCCTGATCCCAGACCGATTCGATTTCCATCCTTCCAATGATTGGTTTCGTGGACAGTGACTGCAATTTCGATGAGTCGGCTACATCCTTCAACTGGCACACAATTCTCTTGAGGATCATTGGACATTGAATAGAATCGAGGTCTTAATGTTTCGAGTTCTGAGAGAAGATGATCGAGAGGTGGTTTACTGGAAGGGAACGCGTGAAGAAGTTGAGGGATGGTGATGTGTGGACCAGTTCTGAAATCGCAGAATGCACCTTGTCCTTCTCCAGAACACAAATATAACAAAATCTTCTTCTCTTCTGGGTCGGTAGCATACTCGGCAAGGATTCGTAAAATCTTCTTGTTTGGAGGATATGATTGAATATCAGAACACCAAGTCAATAAATCGCGTCTGGTTGTGATTAATTCTCTTGGCTTATCGTCTCCCCAAATCGTAGGCCATCTTCCTGAATGGGTCTTCAGTAGAATCTTTCGGTCACGAAGATGTCTTGGAATAGATAACAAATCCATCATTTCTTCCACCATCGATTCTTCATTTGGTGCCATAACACCAATTGCACCACCAACCTTGAAATCAACGCCACCTTCTTCAGGATAATCGGTAACATCCAAATCGAAATGATATGTTCTCTTTTCAGCACCAGGCTTGGTCAATTCTCTGGCATTGAAAATTCTCGCCGAATAGACTTCGTAAGGTGGGTGTGGCTGAACGAATGAAGGTGGTTGAACTTTGGTGTCGACGTCTAACTTGGCATGATGTGGTGTGAAGTCAATTGAATCATTTTCCATACTAATTCCCGAATCCTTGTGGGAGATAGCCTTTTGAATGTCTGCCGCATCTGCGACGTCCATAGGAGGCTCGACGGTAATCGCTCCTCGGTTCTCATGAATATCCAAAGATTCCATGCCCTTGACAATATCCAAGGCCTTCTCCTTGTCCAAAGGGAGAATCTCCATGTTTTTCTTTGGCAAATCTGGCAGACTTGTCAATCGTGTAGGAATGGTTTCGATCTTCAATGCCAAACTCCTGTAAGCATCGTTGTCTGGTAATCTTGGTCTTTCGTATGTAAGGCCATCAGTCTTGGTAATGGCCATACAGCAACCTCCACCACAGCATTTTTCCACCAATTTTGTGCCCGCATTTCCGATAATTCTTCGCATATCGGTAGCATTTTGTGAGATAAGTACAGTCGAAGCCCGACGACGGCGTGGTTCAATTTCTTCGGGTTCGAGGTCGGAAGAAGAAGAGGATGAGTAGGTGAGAGCCGGAACCTGAGAAACCTGGGAGCGGGGTGATTCAGGCTGTGGCTCTTGTGGTATACAATGAGATGTAGTAGCCATTCTGACAACTTGAGGACGCGACATTATTCGAAGTAGAATCGATGAACGACGGATCATATACTAGTTGTACGAGTATGAGTGCCGAGAAATCGTTGAAAATCAGGAGGGGGAAGGCAAAGCCAAACTTGTTGATTGTGTGACAATCCAACTTTTGAGTTTGATAATTGATTCCACAATGGTATGGTATGATGTAAGAAATGATCTAATGGATTGGTTTTGTCTTGAGATAAGTATTGGCGTAATACTTATTATTTGCTTGGAAGTGATTATTGCTGTAGGAGATTCCCGAGTTATTCGACTTGATCAGATATTATTGTGAATGTATCAATTGAAAGAATTATGGTGAATTCAGGTTGAGGTGGATAGAAGTCCCTTTTATTAAAGTTTTTTCCGAAAAGACAAATTGGATCTTTGGTGGCGGAATGACTTGGAACTTTATTTTGGATTCTTGACTTTGAAGCCTCGGCCGACACCGGGATTGAGATTGAGATTGGGATTGAGATTGATCAACCGTAACAACCGTAACAACCGTAATATAAATACGGAGTATTCAGATCAAGCTTTTGGATACATAGGTACCTAGCAGTATATGGATGTGGAGGAACAATATTCAACTGACAAGCCAAAGGAGTTTGATTGTGCAGGATCCGTGGTGATGACCGATCTGATCTCAAATCCTTACTATACAGTATGCATCATCATCAAGCATCAAAACAATATATCACTACCTGGGAATGGCTCAACATGGTTTGAATCTCCTTTTGATGGATTCTATTGTGTATACACATCATTCAATATGTCTGTCTTAGCAAGAAAACACACAAGCAATGGCCTCAGGATGATCAAACATTGAGCTCATCGAAGATTTCCGTCTCAATTTGCCAAACATTGTGCATCTTCATTCCCTGGCTACCTTATCATCTTGTGTCCACATATAGTCAATATCTCCATCACCCACTCCTACTCCCACTCTTCATATTGCTACCTACCTAGGTAGGTACTTGCATCAGATGTGCTAGGTGTTTCCCTTGACAACGATTCTCACTTGCTTTAGCATCACGGAAACCCCAACATCGTCAATCAATCAATAAGAGGAGAAGAAACAAACCATCTCTCAGCTGGTACGCACTTTGCCTACCTACATAACCGTTATTCAATCCCGACAAACATCGTAAAGATCGACTCTCTTTTTACTAAAAACTATGATTCGGGTCCTGTTCAAACTCAATTGAAGTCAGGAACGAATCGTTTTAGGAATTGCTAGGACAAGAGAATACCCGCTTTTCGTAATCTACTTGCCATTCGAAGTTAGAATGTCCAGACAAGGGAAATAGTCCTTGTCATAGACCTTGTCGTGGACTTGTCATGGACCCTAGTCGATTCACTTATCTGATCCGAAAGGTCGAGGGCTAGAATGGTGAGACTCGGTAAATGCTCTGGGTAGATGGAAGAATGATCTGACGGTAAGGTGATACGGCAAGAAAGGGGGTAAAGGACAGTATTCAGCGCAGGTATAGAAGTGTTTTAACTACAGAGACCGGGAATGTAACAGTACTGATTATAGGAAAGTTACATGAGACTGCTAACAAGCACGATGACATCTCGATCCGAATAGCCTTTCGTCCTTCGTTTTCGCATTCGGGTTAGCTGGTTCCAAAGCCGGACTATTTCCACGGAGAAATACACAATCCCTTGACATTGTTTCCTAATTAACCCATGGTTTTCTCGTACAATCCACTTACCGCATTCATAACTTCACAGAATTACAAGCAAACCATTTTGGGGAGTCTGGTCCATTTCTATCTATCCCAGAGCCAAAAATTGAGCCGGCTTAACGTAACCCTACCTACATCTTACATCGATTTCAACCCAACCATTCGGAACCATACAATTCAGATCCGAGACATGCTCATCTAAATTTACACATATTTACTTCTAGGATACGGGGGACTTTCGATCTGATAACTTTAAATCATTTCGTATAATCTATTTGTACAACAAAAAGCAGATTAAATTACAAATGATTAATGAATCGAGGAATCAAGAAAATACGTGGAGACTCACGTATGGGTGACATTCCGGTGACATACCAAATTCTCAACATTCGAGGATTCCTTACCAGGTTCGATGGGGCATCAAAAGTAACAAGGAATAAAATCTGATTAGATTATATGATCCCCAGTACGCCGAATCCGACATGATCCCTTTGTTGAGAAATTATCCTCGAGACATGGAAGCGAATCTTTTTCCTGATTCAAGCTTTGTACCATTGGGATTTACCTTTTTATCGGATCGTGTGGATCTCATGTCATCTGATAAGTGGACAATACTTTCCTCTGCATATCCACAGGCATTCTACTCCGTACACGTATAAGGTGTGTACTAAGAGTTTCTTGCATTAGCTTTTTGCTTATATTCTTCTATGGATCATCTACTGCATAAAGAGGGCAGTTAGAATGGCATAGGGAAAGGCGACACGGAATATTCTTGTTTTCGTGTCCAGCTGCTTATACCCATTATCGCATGTGGGTTTCTTGATGCGCCCAAGCATTTGCATACCAGGATATGGTAATCGCGAACCACAGTTTGAAAATTGCGACTTTGATGTACAGATGATGAATATCAATACATAAATGGGGAATTGTAGGAAAGGATTCGGTAAGCTTATCAGATCAAATGATGGAAAGGGGTTGCGAGAACGGAGATTAGATTAATCTGATAAATTGAGATGGATGCGATGGTCTGATCTGATTAGACAAGAAGACAGCTAAGACAAAGAAGTTCGGTTGATGGGATCAACAATGTGGATGGAGAATGAAAGACGACACGTGATTTTTAAAGGGGTGGTTTGGGGGTTTATTTCCATTTGCTGAACATCCACGTTACTCTTTTCATCGCACCGGAAATTGCAACATCTTGAATGAACAAGGAAGTAAATGTTTCCAGAAAATCATTGAAAGCATTTCTGGATTCAATCCGCCCTCTCTTGTTGCGGTCCAAAGAAAACTCGACTCAAGACATTTGACATCGGGGCAGATCTGTCCTTCTAGACACGTCCCATTCTTTTTAACTGCTGCAGCTAGTCTCTCCTCAACACCTTCACGGAAGTTACGGTTCGTGTCTGGACGTGGATACCGTTATTCACCGAAGAAGGTGCTTGCAAATTTTCTTCGGGACTGCTGACATGGCTAGAAATGCTCCACCGCCATTGTGCTCTGTAGATCTCCTGCAATATCCCCAGTGGTTTGTGAACCCTTTGTTCTACATCTTTTCTACTCTGTCTTCCATCTATTTTCTTTTGCTTCTTTCAGATTCTTCTCGATTCTTCTAGAAAGGTTCACTGATCTTTATGTTGATCATGATTGAGATATCCATTTTCATGTGATCAACCCTGCTTAAGTGCAAAGTCCAAAGTGCTTGGTTGTGGCTCCTTTCCAGATTCACAAAAATTGGGGCTTGTATTAATGGTATACAAAGGAAAGCGTGCCGAGCCTGTATCTTTCACACTGGCATGCTTGATTGATCCTACGAGTTCATTGATCTCAGTTTCTGTTGTTGGTGCGCTCTACTTTCGAGATATGAATCTTTCCTTTGCGTTTAAGATTATAGCTTTGGCATGACGAGGTATTAAGTTAGTACAATCATCATGTCTTCAATTCATTCATAAACCTAGCGGTATGTGACTTCTCTCGGAGACTCCTATTTTACATAATTGTATCTTCTCTTCTTCACTTCTATTCTCATCGATGCGGACAAGCACTTGGCTATGATACAATCCCAGGGATGATGGGCAAATGCCAAGTTTCACTTACAATATGAAAATGAAGTATATTACGTTTTGAAATATGTAGAGTTTGGAATCCCACTTTAATATATTACACGTGCAAAGAAAACTCACACTCTCTCTTACTGTTGAGAATGACTTTGGAGGAGGATAGTTCTTACTTCGGAGGTGTTCCACGGTATTGGATACAAGTCCCGATGAGGTAGCTTCGTGATGAGGATTCAAATCATTGTTCTTGGTGGTAGTATCTGACATTCAATGTGGAGTCTATGCTATATCCTCAGAGTGTCTAAGCACGGTTTATAGTTATAAGAAGAGATCTCCACTAGGCTACGCAGAGATTGTGTCTACCCACGGGATATTCGCGAGTGATCTTATTCGCAGGTTATCCATCAGAGTTATTACCCGCTCCTCAGACTTTTTCCTAGGATTCTAAAAAGTTGAGATGGGTCGAAAATTGATACCAAAACTGCTGGCGAGTGAGTGTGTTTGCTGTTGTTGATATCCGCATTACATACTGTCATAGATATCTTGTCGCCGCCCAAAGAATGTAATGGCTTGTATGGTACTTCATCCCGTGGGAAAGTCACAGGGTGGATGGCTAAGGCTCACGAGCACCGATCAAAGAGTACCGCGGTTTGATCAACTATCAGGCAATCACGGGCCTGGATTGAGATTTGGCTTTTTCATGCTTGAACACTTTGTGCAAGGAAGAAGTGATTTTATATATTCAAGAGTCATTATTGAGACAGAGTAGATGAGGAGGAGAGGGTGTGTAGAGATGGGGCTTGAGAGATTGGAGTTGGTTGATGGGTAAATTTTACTGGTAGTCAGTGGATGCGGGGAAGTGTATACCTGGTGGACCTTTCCTGCTGGAAGGCTGAGACGAGAGACCAGGGAGGGGGAGGGGGAGGGGGTGAGAATTTTCACAAGGTAAGGAATGTAAGAGTCAGGCAGGTACTCTTTGTTTAGTTTCTAGGAAAGAAGCAATCGATTCGCCACTCTTCGTCGATGGGTGGGTTGAAAGACTGGTTTATGATTCCAAGTAGGCTACTACTGCTGCTGTAGTTGCAGAAAAATGAAATGGGACGAATTAGATACCAAGTGGTAGATGTTGTCTCTAGAGAGTTATCGCTGTCAACAAATGGAAGATACTCTTTACTGTCGGTGTTGATAGTTCTATCTTTTTTCATCCCACTGCCATCTCATCTCCTAGCACAAATCCACTCGCGATTTCCATCCTAAAAACATAAACAACAGGTCGTGTCAAATTTTATTCATCCTTTCTCACCAGAATCCGCAAACAACAAGTTGCCACGCCCTTTCTCGCACCCCGTTCACTCTCGAGCATGTTGTTGATGATTTCTCATGTTCGATCAACTGAGATGTCAAGGACACGGGATGTATATATATTCAAACTTAAATGTAAAGGGTTTTGAGAAAGCGGGGAAAAGAGTTTGTGTAAAATGGAATTGATTCACCACGAGCGATCAGACGGTTAATCATTGGAATTTCAAAGTCTCTGAAAAATTGAATAGCGGTAGGGAATTGACAGTTATTTTGTATTGTAGATGGATTGTGGGGTATACCTAAATGTGTTTGGAAACGAGTCAGGAGAGCAGATGGTGTATCTATTCAAGAAACTGGTAGAGCGATTCCATCCTGGGAGCAAACACATGAAGGCATGTTGAAACCACAAAAAAAAAAAGAAACTACCTACCCCTGAGGAAGTTCTGATTCGTGATGAACTAGAATTCCGAACTCACGTAGTTTTAGCGGGAAGATCAACCTCCTTGATTTCTGTGTGTGGATTCTTGTTGTCTTTTCTCGCATGGTAAACTTGTCGCTGTTTTTCTGGAGATTCACATCCAGCCTGCCGAGGAAAAATTGTATCGTTACCTGGTGAGATACATCAGATAGACCGCGCACAATTGATTCCGCCTGTGCGATTATACCCGCTGCTTCATAATTACGCAATGCTATTCCTATTGGTAAATTGAAAATCATCCTGGCGATGTGGTTATTCATGAAACTTTTCCGTAAATCTGAGGGGCCTTTTATTCTGTTCCGCGAGGAAAATTTCGGAAGGAGAAGAGATGCGATGGGCTTGTTTGCGGATTATAGAGGGAGCACAGCGGCAATGGTGGATCTTGCGTTCTGCTTCGCCTTCTGGTGATATGGGAGAGTTAGCTCGGTAGGTAGTCATGACTACTTCCTTCCAATCGGAAAATAGTGGATATTCATTCAGAATTCAGAAGAGTCTGCACAACAGTAGATAAACCAGACGAATTCATCGAGGTTGACGATCATCAAATTTATCTGTAAATCGTCATTAAAGACGTAGGAGGACTTTGCGCCGGCTCGGCGTATACTCAGGTTTTACACTTACAAATATGTGGATTACTGTAGTAGGACTTAGTTCTGGCTTGTCGCCTGGAGTATGTTAGATGTGCATGTTTGATACACGGAATCGAGATACGATGGAATTGTTGTCGTTTATCTACTCTCACTTTCGCTTGCAGGAAATGGTGTTGTATTTTTATTTGTGTTGTTATTCTATATGTGCTATTTACATTTCCTGATAGCTGCTTCATCGAAGATCCTGTTTGATTAATCGCCTCTGAAGTTCTACTTCTTATATGAGCTGGGTTTAGTATAGATGCTTGCTTACTTTTCATTCACTACGCACAAGTCACAAGAAACTTTGAATCTACCTCTGAGCAACTTGGTATGTTATGTATTGTTATGAGTTGGGATGTTGGGTAGTTTATGTATTATATTGTTGAAGAAATAGTGGGGGTGGAGAATGCCGTCATGCTTGGAGCGTCAGGAGGGTGCCGGGATGTTGAGTTGGGGGGTGGATTGGTATCAGAGGATGAGGGGTGATTTGAAGTCGATCTGCGATTTAGTACATGCATACACGGTGATCATTCACTTTTGTCACAGTGGTAGAAGAGACAGGTACCTTGGTAGTGGAGACGCGACGCTCATGAAAGTTGATAGAGTGTTATATAAGGATCGCCGTTTAACTCTCTATACCTTTGCATGGTCAACACCGGACAGTATATGAGCCGCTCATGTTTTGACAGCGTGTAGCATGTTTCTTGCTATACTAAATTGAGCTTCACACGGAGAAGAAACGGCTGCTTTTCTGTGCAGGGAGGTAGTCGCCATTTTCAGCGAGAACAAAGATTCTGTGGTGAAGATTTCATGATCACTGCCGTTTTTAGTCGACGCCAAGATAATCATTTCTCTGCTGTCATAACACCACATAACTACTGAATCACAGACGACTTCCCAATACAGAAGACTTGAAAATCCCACCATCGGAAAAATTATCTTGTTATTACCTCAATAAAATAAGTCTTGTCTCCATCACAATCAATCTATGTTTCAGACCCCTAATCACATACCTTTGGAACCAAATCCAGCGGCTATGTAAGCAAACCCGGCAGATCAGAACTTCTATGATCTTTTCGAGACATGGATACTCCTATTTCTCTTCATCGTCATCCATATGAGTTCAACATCCTTCAAAATCATAGCTTATTGTGGCCAAAAGTTCCCGCATAAACTTCGCAATTGAAAGTAGGATTTTACCAAACCATTCACTTGTGATTCCGTGGTATATGAACTGGCCTGTATAACGATATGTTAGCTACATCGTATTCGAAGCAGTAGTGCATCATCATATAGTTGAATTAAGGGTCTGTGATATCCATCCATCAGAGTTCGATGCCGGAACCAACGGAGAATACTGGCTAAAGCCGTCGGAAAGGGGCAGCGAAAGATGACATATTTGTGTCAACGTAATTTCTTGCTCAGTACATCATTCATAATTCACACTGCGACTATATCATTCAACCTTTCTCATCTCTGGCACTAGGTTTTCTTATGAAAAGCAAAATACCAAAGATTAAAGAATTACAACACGTTGATTAAGTACAATGGGAAACATTTGAATGGATTTGTTGAGTCGCGGTCGGTTCCCTCTGGGAACACGTGATGGCGATCTACCTCTTTGTCATTGGTAAGCTCGGCTGACGAGGTACATTGCAATGTGTGTTTTACTGAGTTTTGGAGCAGATTGCAATACTCACACCTTACGAAAAGTCAATAAATCATGAAGCGTCAAGAATATGTGTGAAGAAGCGCAGAGTGGTTAGGCTCACTTGACTTGAACTCTTTTCTTTTTGACATCCTTCAATATGACCACGAGAGTTAAGAGAGTTAAGCTACTACGTCTATGCCATGCAACAGGATTTCAAAGATTTCGTGGAATTGATTCGTCGCTCCCAATTACTTGACAGGAAGACTAATCTTGCCATGAACTGTATTTGTGAAGAAGTAACACAGTGACGAGAGTGAGCCTTCACCGTCAACTTGCCAGCTTTGTATTTATCTAGCTGATTTTTAATGCAGTTCTCCAAGCAAACGTATCGGAGTACGCAAACCCAACTCAATCGCACGCGGGCGTGGAACATGCCCGTCCTTATAAGCTATCAGCTTGACTAGCCGGGTGTTGAAAGTGATGCTTGCACTGATCTTGAACATCCACGTCAAATTTCTGTGGGGGAATGAAAGTACATTGCAAACCCCGACCCCATAACGTCTTCCGCATGTTTCCTGTAAAGCTTTGTATAAAAAAAGCTGTAGTAATACTTGGTAGGTCTAGCTAAGAGCCCTGACTATAACGCAGTACTGTGTAGTCTCCCAGAGTTCAGTTTGTAGGTCTTAGTCCACAGTGAAGCTGGATCTCATCTTTACTGCTTCATCATGGATTTCGGGAAGGGTTTCTGCCCGCTCCAGCCATTTCAAAGCCTCCTCAGTTTGACCCTGAGATTTACATATTGAAGCCATGTTCAACATGCTCAAACCAAAGCCACTTTCAGCTGCGACTTGAAACCACTCTTTGGCATAACCATAATCTCGCTCTGACGGCTTCTTGTGCGCTTGGTCACCGTTCTTAGATAATTCAATAGCACCAAGATTATGACATGCTTCAGGCATACCCGCACCAGCCGCTTTAAGTAAATAGACCATCCTATTATCCTCTTCCTCAGGACCTACGTGTTTAGAAAGATAAAAGAACGCTGCTGGATGATCTAAGTCTAATGCTGCTTTGCTAAACAACTTCTTTGCAGCTGCTCCATCAGTCTTTTCTAAGATCAAGCCAAGTACGACGAGTGCATCTGCAGCCCCTGGAAAGTTTGGCGACTTTTCTCCAGCAACAGCCTTTTGCAACCAATCTCGAG